TTAAACCGGTTATTTTCGTAGTCACATTTGATGAGCGCGCAAAAGTGCGATTTGAATGAGCTTTTGAGCGTGTTTAGAACTAAGGTCTTCTATTTCATGCAGAAATTTCAAGTTCCTACTGGCGTCAGATTGGAAGTTTGAATGCTTTAACCCAGAGCCTGCAGTTGCCTGAAACCGTCCTTTCCGGACCCACATTCCCTAATCGCGCAAAAGTCAGAATTTTGAACGACTTGAATGAACCCTTCAGGGATTTTAGATTCAAGTGTTCTGTTTATAATTCCGAAATTTCAAGCTTCTACTGGCCTTAGATTGGAAGTTAGAACGTTTTTATTTGGGATTCTGCACTTACATAAAACCGATCATTTTCGGACTCAAATTTGAGAAGCGTGTAAAGGTCGGAATTTGGTGTGATTTGAATGAATTTCTGACTATTTTGAGATTTAAGTGTCTTCTATAGAATGTCGAAGTTTCGAGTTCCCACTGGCTTTAAATTCGGAGTGAAGAATTTTTATTTGAGACTCTGCTGTTGCGTGAAACCGTCCATTTTCGGACCAATATTTGCTAAGCGAGTAAAACTCAGAATTTGGTGCAATTTGAATGAACTTTTGAGCGTTTAAAAACTCAAGTGTCTTCTGTTTGATGATAAATTTAGTCCTTGCGGGCTTTAGATTCAAAGTTAGAATTTTTTATTTGAGAGTCTGCAGTCGCTTGGAACCGTTCATTTTCGGCCCAACATTTGCAGAGCAAGCAAAAGTCAAAATTTTTGTGCGATATCTATGAACTTTTGAGTGTTTTGAGTCTCTAGTGTCTTCTATATAATTTAGACTTTCTAGTTTTTACTGTCTTCAGACTGCAAGCTATAATTTTTGATTTGAGAGGCTGCAGTTGCCTGAAACCTTGCATTTTCGGACCAACATTTGCTAAGCGCGCAAAAGTCAGAATTTAGTGTGAATTGAATGAACTTTTGATCGCTTTTAGACCGAAGTGTCTTCTATATAAATACGTAATATCAAGTTTCTTCTGGCTTTAGATTGGAAGTTAAAAATTTTTATTTGAGAGGCTGCAGTTGCGTAAAACCGTCCATTTTCGGACCAATATTTGCTAAGCGAGCAAAACTCAGCATTTGGTGCAATTTGAATGAACTTTTGAGCGTTTTAAAGCTCAAGTGTCTTCTATTTGATTTCGAAATTTAGTCCTTGCGGGCTTTAGATTCAAAGTTAGAATTTTTTTATTTGAGAGTCTGCAATTGCTGTAAACCGTTCATTTTCGCACCAACATTTTATAAGGGCGCAAAAGTAAGAACTGGGTGCGATTTTAATAAACCTTATTTGAGCGTTTTTAGACTCAAGTGTCTTTTATAGAGTTTTGAAATTTCAAGTTCCTACTGGCTTCAGATTCGAAGTTATCCATTTTCATTTGAGAGTCTGTACTTATCCGAAACCGATTGGTTTCGGACTCACCGCACTTACGCACTTCTCAAAAGAAGCGCGTAAAAGTCAGAATTTGAATGAACTTTTGAGTGTTTTTGAAACAGTTTGCAGTGAAACGCATTGTTTTGTCCAACAATGACCGACGTTTCAACACGTTCTTCAGGCGTTTATAAACGCAAGAAGCCAAAGGCCTGAATCAATTGTCCAAACGCCTGCCGTTGTTGGACAAAAATGTGTTCCAGAACAGACAATAGCTTTATGATAATTTCAGGTGTCTGATGATAAAGCCGGAGAAATAATCGACTCTGTGTGGTTGATCAAAGACTCTCATGGACTCTACCCGCATTCGAAAATGGACTGGGAGAGCATCGAGCAGATGCGCTTGAAAACATTCAACAATGTTTAGTGTATTATTAGGTAATTGTGATAGATTCGGCCACCTGTAGGATTTGGGTGTTTATCAACATGTAAATAAATAAAGCTTTATTAATAACATAAAATAAATATTCACATCACTTATCAACCGTACCCATCCGTCCTTGCCTGATGGGCTGGGAGCAAGCAGCAGGTGAAACACCGAGAAACTGGAGAACATCGCCAGCTAAACCCTGCGGGGACTTTATTTCCCTATTTTTCCGGAAGTTATTCCGTTTTCAAAYACGCGCTTCAGCAGCTCGGARACCAGCTGCTTCAAGAGGCCTTCCCTTTGCTTGCCCACGTCGATTACCTCCTCATGGTTGGGCTCGTTGTTGGCCTCGTACTGAACGACGCACTCRTTGGTGATTAGGCTGAAGGCGAACACTTCCATGTCGCAGTGATTGGCTGTGATCACTTCGTGTACTGTGGACATGCCCACGGCATCCGCCCCTAACATCGCAGGAAAAACGCGTAAAAACAGGCCCTCAAGCTGTTTTGGGGGCGCGTCACTTACCCAGCATTTTGAGCATGTTCAACTCGGCGACTGTTTCAAAATTCGGTCCCCCTAAGCAGGTGTAGACGCCCTCATGGATGCGATTCTCCACCCCCATATCCTCACCCACTTTCTTAGCCAGCTGGATGATATCGCGATTGTACGCCTGGTTCATGGGAGGAAACCGTGGGCCAAACCGTTCGTCATTCGGGCCTTGAAGCGGGTTGTTGCCCGCAAAGCCCATGATGTTGATGTGGTCCTTCACCAGCATGATGTCGCCCACCTTGTAGCTGGGATTGAGGCCCCCGGCAGCGTTGGTTATAATCAGGTGGGACACTCCCAGCAGCTTCATCACGCGAATGGGCATGCAGCATTTCCACAATGGGTAACCCTCGTAGTAGTGGAAGCGGCCCTTCATGCAAACGGTGGGCAGGCCCGAGAGGTGGCCGAACACCAAAGAGCCCACGTGGCCCTTCACGGTGCTGGTGGGAAAGTGCGGTATGGTCGAGTAGGGGATTTCGATGGGATTGACCAAGCAGTCGGCCAAGGAGCCTGGAAATAGTGGGCGTTTTAATCCAAGCGTGTCTGGTCGCTTATCAATTATTAAAAACTGATGAAAAAGATTTGTACAAGCCGAAAATAGAACGCTAGTTTTGAGCTCTGTTGGCAAGCTGAAAAATGAAACGATGTTTTTGCTGCATTGCCAAAAATCGGAGTTTGATGCAATTTGATTGAAATTTTAAAGGCATCGAGGCCCAAGGGTGTTCTATCAGTGGTACCCATTTCAAGATGCGGCTTGCTCTAGATTAGACGCAGGATTTTCTTATTTCAGGATTTGCAGTTGCGGGAAATCGTCCATTTTCCAACCAACATTCGCAACGCACGCAAAGGGCATAATTTGTTGCGATTTGAGCGAATTTGTGACTATTTTGAGACTCAAATTTGTCTTCTCTATAATATCGTAATTTCAAGTTCATGCCGGCTTTAGATTCAAAGTTAGAATTTTTCATTTGTGAGTCTGCAGTTGCCTGGAACCGTCCATTTTCGGACCAATATTTCCTAACAGCGTAAAAATCAGAATTTGGTGTTAATTGAATGAACTTCCTAGACAGTTTAGATTCAAGTGTCTTCTATATAATGTAGTGATTCGATCATGCTCCTACTGGCTTTAGATTCGATGTTAGAATTTTTTATTTGAGAGGCTGCAGTTGCCTGACTCGTTCATTTTTGCACCAACATTTGCTAAGGGCGCAAAAGTTAGAATTTAGTGCGATTTTACTGAACTTTTGAGTGTTTTTAAAATCAAGTGTTTTCTATATAATTTAGAAATTTCAAATTTTTACTGGCTTTAAATTCAAAGTTGGGAATGTTCATTTCCGAGTTTGCAATTGCGTAAAACCGTCCATTTTCAGAGCAACATTCGCAACGCACGCAAAGGGCAGAATTTGGTACCATTTGGGCGAATTTGTGACTGTATTAAGACTCAAGTGTCTTCTATATAATATCGTAATTTCAAGTTCATGCTGGCTTTAGATTCGAAGTTAGAATTTTTCATTTGTGAGTCTGCAGTTGCCTGAAACCGTCCATTTTCGGACTAATATTTCCTAAGAGCGTAAAAGTCAGAATTCGGTGCGAGTTGATTTGACTTTTGAGCGTTTGTCGACTCAAGTGTCTTTGATAGAGTTTCGAAATTTCAAGTTTCTACTGGCTTCAGATTCGAAGTTAGGAAT